CTGTCCAGATGTGAGCCCTCTCGCCACCCAAGGCTTATCTGGAAGGTGAAGCTCTTACAGGAAAGCAGAGAATTGGGAGCTGGTTTTTAAGAAGCTAACTGCACATATGGGGACTTCAGACATCCTCCAGATTTCTTTGAAAATTCTGGAAAATAAAAAGAACAAGGCAAATACGCTCATTCCTATAAAAGCACCGACTAGGAGGGCATTTAGAGCAGATGTCTAAATGGGTGGGATATAAAGTTAATAAATAAATAAATAAAATTTAACAATGTATTTATCCTATCAATAATCATCCACATTCCAATTTAATGATTGGTCTTGCTGGGCAAATTATATAGCACCAAGAAGTTCTCACCTATTCAGACAAATTCAAAGATGAAAGCCTCTTGCTGGGCAAATTATATAGCACCAAGACGTTCAAAGATGAAAGCTATACTATGTTACTGGAGTTTTCTGCTAATACTGTAGATGTCATCTCCCTGTGTGCTCTTTGTTACAAAATGACAGGCATTTACCAATGCACATTACATAGGAAACTGCCTTGTACTGAATCAGACTCATAAATCCATCTGACCTAGTGTTGTCAGCCCTGATTGCAGTAATGGCTCTCCCAGACCTAGCTGTACCTTGACAGCTCTGGTATTCCCTGGTGGTCTCTAATCCAAGTACTGTACTAATCTGGTCCGACCCTGCTTAGCTTCCAAAATCAGAAGAGACTGATGTGGTCAGGCTGATGTTGCTATCCACACTAGTTGATAGTGTTGCTCAGTCATATAGAGGTGCTGGGAGTCAAAAGCAGGGAAAACACTCTTCCTGTACAAATTATAGGTGCCCAGTATGCTCAAACAGCCCATGTATGCATGTGTCAAGCGTTGTCAGGTCACATCTGACTTAAGGTAACCCTAATAAGATTTTCAAATGGCACTTCCAGATGGGTTTCCATGGCCAAGCACGAATTTGAACCCAGGTTACACGGTCCAAAATACAGTGGTGATGATAATCCTTCCGATCTTTGCTGGACAATGAGGTATTTTCCCCATTGGAACGCATTAAACTGGGTTTCAATGCATTCCAATGGGGAAAGGGCTTTCGCATGACAACGATAATCCGTCCCGTGAAAATTGCTGTTTAGCGAAATCGTTGTCATGCGAAAACCCTTTCCCCACTGGAATGCATTGAAACCCGGTTTAATGCGTTACAATGAGGAAAATACCTTGTCGTCCAGCGAAGATCGCCCATAGGGAAGCCATTTTGTGAGCGCCGATCAGCTGTAAAAAGGGTTGCCCTGAGAAGCATGGGTCCGGAAAACACAGGGCAGCCATTTTGCGAAGCTGAAAAAAATCATCGTCTTGTGAACAAATGGTTCACGAAGCACGGACCTAATCTACGTCCACCGAAAATCCCCCATTGGAATGGCTGTTTTGTGAATCGCTATAGCGATTGCAAAAAGTCATCGTTATGCGGATTCGTCGTTTAGTGGGGTCGTTGTTTAGCGAGGTACCACTGTACCATCTAGTACATTATACTATCAGCATATATGATTTTTTTTGTATCAGATCTATAGGAATCTATACTTCACGATAGATGGATAACTACTACTGTCTCCACCCAAGGAAGTTTTGTTGCACCAGGGGCTCAACCAACTAAAGCAACACTCAATTTAAAAAAAAATGGTTTAATACTTGACCTAGGCATGAAACAAATGAATTCAAGATGGCAGAGTGGTGGATTGGCTACGAAAAACCAGAATCCTAGGAAGTGTTGGAAGAGGAGGGCCTGGTGAAGGCTTTATATTAGAGATGAAGGTATTTGTATACGTATATACCCGCATAGGTGGCATTAGTCCACTCACCAATCTGCCACAGATGGCGCGATTCTACGAATGGCTCCGTAGCGCAGTTTGCTCGCCACTCCTGGCAGGAGGACAAGCCTTGCTGCAAGGTCGAAGAGTGGCAAGCGGATCACGAGCTGCAGAGCCACTCGTAGAATCACGCTGTCCGCAACAGATCGGTGGGTGGACTGTCTGGCTCCATGGGGCTGGACCCTCATTAACGCCACCTGTGCAGGGATATTTGTATTAGTATACAAATACGAATCTCTACTTTATATAGATCAAAACAGCTCACTTGATTGTGCAGTTTTGGAATGAGTCATAAAAGAAAAATATAGAAGAAGAGGCAAATTGGGTATATACATTGAAGAGAGGACCCTACATGCCTGTAAAATAAGACTGAAGATATGAAGGAATCAAAACTAGAGAAAAGAGGCAGATGCCAGCATTCTGATAAAATCTAAATTAGTGGAGAACAAACTATGGCCTAAATCCAGCTTTGTTCTAGCAGTAGCATCCTTCCCCTCCGCTTGCAGTGTTCTGCATTTCTGAAAAGCTAATTCCAGAGGGTATCCAAGCTTTCTGCAACAAGTCTCAGGAGTCCAATGGGTGGCTGCAGAAGAAGAGTGACCACCCCCTTCCTAATCTTGCTGACAGAAATAGCAATGTTAATGCAAACACCATACAACAAAACAAATATAAGCCTAGGCCAGGTGTGGAGAACCTCCTGGGGTCTGAATCTAAACGTCTAGTTTTCCTTGAATAGATGGGATGATCTCTGCATAATATGACTGTTTGTCATCACACAGGTTCTGTGCAGTCTTTTTTGTTCTTCATCTAAAAGGCTGAAATGTCTTTCGTAAGGCTTTGTTACTAGCAGTCTGTAAAGAAACTGAGGAACTAGGAAATATAAAATATGGAATTCAGTTGCTGAACACTTCGTTGCTTCTGTTGTGAGTGCCTGGGAACCTGAACAAAGAGGCAGAGGTTAACATGTAAAAGGAAAATTTACACTTTCAACTTACCTCCTGTTATTGAAAAAAACTGAGAGAAGAACTGACACTTCCATGCTCATCTTTTATTAGAAGGTATATCAAAGTAGCCCCAAAAGGAATCTAATGCTTTAACTGCAACCCTTGATTTGAAAGAAGTCAGTCCATTTCCATCCCTGAGAATTATGCAGTTTTCAGCGATGGAAAGGGAGCAGGTCAGGAAGACGCCTTTTGTCCTGACAGAACATGAAAGGGAATTAAGATATTGTTGGCAACTGGTGTGTAATGGCCCACTTACTTATATAAAAGAAAATTAGGAAAACTAGTCAACGTAGCATATCTCTGAAGAGAAAGTGCTTTGCTCATGTGCTGTTCCACAATGTCTAGAAGTGGCTTAGTCTGCCTATAAGGATGAAGCTGGGTCCATTTACCTTCCTGCATTCTGTGCATGTCCCAGAACTGCACTCTTTCTAAAGGTATGAGTATTAGAGCAGATTAGCTGTTGCTATTTCCTGGTTTATTCCTCTTGAATGCCTTTAAGTTTGTCTGTGCAGTTACTCCTGCATTTTGAAAAACAATTTTCATTACTATTTGGAACCTTTATTCTTTTGCCCTTTTGACTTTTTTTTTTTACTTTTATTTTTGCCTTTTAAGCAGTTGTCTGGATTTTTGTGGTACTAAAACCAGGTCTTGCTTCAGTTACCTACTGGAAATAATGGTATCTGTGTGGGAGTGGTGGCAGCTATCTCACAAGGTTGGTGTGCCAGCTTTCAGTGCCCAGTCTTGGGAATTTCTGTTTCATTTTGTTTTAGACATCTATGGAGCACAGCCAAATCTGGGAAACTGGTATGCTGGGAGTGATACGGTTTCAGTCAACTTCCTTGGCCTTCACCAGATTTGACTCTTCCCTGGATTCTCCCAGGATGAGCAAGAGTAGTGTGGCTGAGTGGCCAGAGAGAGTGAGAGTCCTGACAGAGGAACCATGACATAGCCTGAGCTAAAATATGCTGGGTTTTTTTATTTTACTCTTTTGTGCTTAGCCCAATTTACCAGTAGGCTGTGGCCTCTGTGAACTTCTCTACAACTGAATTTTGCCCTCAGCTGAAAGAGGTTCCCCTCGGCCACTGAGGGTTGTTTTTTACACTGTGGAAGAAGTGGTAGAGAAGACTAGCAGATCTATCCTTTATCAATTTACTAATATAAGAACACTTAGAACCTGTGAAAAAGATGGCAGAGCAATCAAGATTGATCCTGTAATTTAACAGAATCAGAGTCAGTAATCTCTGTAAGATTACTATGTGTTTACAGACATTTGTAGAGACTGACACATAGGTTAGAAAAGAGTAGCCAAAGTAGGTGGCCAGCTGTGAGGAGAAAAGTTTGAAACTGATCTGCAAAAGCACTTACAGACTGTATAACTATAGTTTGTACCAACTATGAGAATGTGAAATGACATAAACTTGTCTTAGAAGATGAGACTGTGTGCATAGTCAATCAGGACTGTGAGTCTCCAGTACCAGCCAAATAAAAACACCTATGGAAAGCTTAGAAATTGCTTGAAATTTTTCAGGTAGTGGTGGTGGAAAGACTTACTTTGGGCAGCTGCTAAGGACATCGACAGCTTCTGTCAGACAACGGTGAAACTAAATGAACTAATCTTTTCAGCTAGATGACTGTTTATCATTCATGTACGTGTACTATCCCTAATGATGTGTCATTTTGGTTTTAAATAACTAAGGCAGCCTTCTCCAACATGGGCTCCTCCTAATGTGTTGGACTGCAATTTCCATAATCCACTGCCAAGTTGACTTTAGGTAATGGGAGTTGCAGTTCCACTCATCAGGAGGGGCCCACATGGGGAAGCGTGATCCTTTTAATAACCACTAAGAGTCCTTTCTCCCTGGGGGGCTTTTAATGGCTATGATTCTCAAGCCACAAGAGTGGATGGGTAGAGTGGAGTACAGCACATATATAAAGATCTGGACTACTGTTAGTAACATTTTATATAAAATAGCACAACAGCAAATACTGACTGTGGCAACAGCCTTTTCGAGTGTACTGTCTCACTGAGTTCATTTCAGAAATGAATCACTTCTACCAGATAATAGCTCTTTGCTCCCAGACACAAAAGAGAAAATTGAGGCCTTCAGAGAAAGAATCATAATTACATATTATTGGATGGATATGCAACACAGTTTAATCAGTGTACAGTCAAGGCCAAATCACAACAGGGCTGCTAACCCATTTCCTAACAGCTCCTATTGCTCACCAGGAGCCTGGCAGAGGTCCACACACAACAATCTTAAGCAGATGCTTGTGGTGCTTTCCTGGCTTCTTGCTCCTGCTTGGCTTTTTCCCTCATCTCTCTCTCCCTTTCCTCCAGACTGGCTTGTTCTTGCTCCCACTCCTTCAGTCTCTGCTTGTATTTTGCAATGTCGTCCACTTCAAGTGCTGGCAGCTTTTCTTGAACAAGCTGGGTGGCCAGGGTCAGCAACCGCACAGACTCCACCTTGCCAAGTGACTCCAGTTTAGAATTCAGCTCCTGTCACAGTAGGGAGAAAAGAAAAGCAGAAAATTACCAATCCGGTGCAAGCGATCAACAATCCATCTACTTAGTCCAAGTAATATGTCCGCCTCCTGGCTCCCACATCTGGAAAACAAAAATTTACTGCTGAACTGCATTTTGTCTTGGAAAAGCACGCAGGCCACAACCAAGGCACATTTCCTCTGTCCTTCCACATTTCTCCCCACCACTCCACAAAAAAGAGGAAAAATGTCGACTAGATTTGCCATATTTAGCAATAATGAAGCAAAGACAAAAGAATGATCAATGTGTAATTCCACTAAGTGCTGGGGTGTGTCAAGCTTGCCCCATCAATGGAATAACACCATTAATATGGAACTCTTTATGAAAAGAAGTAATGAATGACTAAGCCAGCAAGCTAAACATTTTAGGGCTCTCACCCATCATTATGCTGATGCAAGAACCTGACCCTGAATTGCTTCAGCTAACCTTCCTTTCAACAGATCGGAACAATTTCAGCAAGGTTGTACTAATGGCATACTAAATAGATCCCACGAGCCTCCAACCAGTTGCCCAGGACATTCCTCTACGGCCTTTTTCTAATGGCTCACGTGACTTATAGCTCCGCTCCATGATAAATGCTTCCGTTCTGCCTGCATGGGTGCATGAGGGGGAGAGGCCGGAGGTGGTGGTGAGGATTCCACTGGAGCCAAGCACAGTGAATCCAGACAGCTGGGCAGTAGTATATCATATCAGGATTCTACTTATATATGTGACACAGTATTTCTTGCAACATACCCTGGTGAATCATAAAAAATATTAATTCACTTAAGTGCTTTAAAAAGCAGGGCCATTTGTGGTTATGGAAGTTTTACTGGACAGCTTGATGGTCCCCAGATAAAACACAAATTAATTGCCCTAATGGAGAAACTTCCCAGAGTGTGGGATGAGCTGTCTAGTTCTCTCTCTCTCTTTCTTTTTCTATTTAATTCTTTGCTCTCACACCAGAAAGAATCATTTCCTCATACTGGATGTATTTTATTTGGACAGACTGACTTTTAATAGGGTCTGTTATGACCCACAAGGAGGCACCACTCCCCTGTATTATTCTTTAGACTCTGGACTGCTGAAAACAGACAATGGATCTAACATAAGAATATAGACGTTGTTATGCACTGTTAAGTCACCTCTGACTTATGGCGACCCAAACAGGGTTTCTGAGGTATGTCAGATGTTCCATGTTTTACCATTACCACCCCCAATGAGTTTTCATGGCTGAGCAGGGATTTGAACCCAGACCTTTTGAGTCCCCATTCAACACTCTCTCTACTACTCCAAATCAACCCTCTGATATACTTCTTGTGTCATGTTATTTACTCAGCTTCGTAACAATTTTTTTTATCTCTAAAAGGAGCTCAGGAGAGCACATCTCAAGGAGGTAGCCCTCCAGTGGTTGCAGGATTATATCCTCAGTCACAGACAGCATAGCCAATGGTTGGGGATGATAGGAGTTATAGTGCCCCATCACCCGGAGGGCAACTGGCTTGCCACTTTTGCTGTTCATGGTACCTCCTCCTCCTTCCATTCATGTTGCTGTGAAGCTATGGTAGAGTGACAGGCCCAGGGTCTTGGACCTGATCTCCTGAAGCTCTGGTCTGACACTCTAACTCACACACATCAAAGTGCCTCTCTTTGCAGGGCACAACTGAAGCACGAGGGATACTTTCATGACAAAGTAGATGACCATCTGTCAGACCACAAGGCAGCTCTCCTACGTTTTGTATGGCTAGACTGGAATTTCTGCTAGCTCAAAAACTTCTTCTGCCGTGCAGGTTGCACTAGAGGGTTAATACCTTAAGTCTGCATTATAACAGGGACAGAGGGCTTTTCAGGCACACACCTGATCACATATAGGGGCACAGGTGTAGATGTAAGCAAGGTTCCCACTACGTTTGCTGCATGGGCACATGCACACGACTCCACTTCCCTCCACACAGCTCTCTTCTTTCTCTGTGCAGAGATTATATTAGGTTCTGGTCATGATGGAACCAAGTGCACGGGGGCAGAGTCGTGCGGGTACACAGCAGTGAAGCCGTGAGAGGCAGAGCCCCACCTAGCAGGGCAGAAAAGTAGAGGGTAGGTTGGATGTAAGCCATCTCCCCAAATATCACTACTCCAGTGGAAGTCTGAAAAAGCTGCACATGGTTACTAAAAACCCTGAAAAGGGCAGTTTCTCAACTGGGCAACAGCATTCAGCCAAAGAGAGTTACAGGGCTTTCAACAGATTTTTGCATTTAATGCCTGAAGTTCCAGGTACCTGATAATGTTTGGAGGCAAGGCTTACATGCATGCTCACATCCTGGCCCAGTTTGAACCATTTACATGATCAGGTGAGCAAGGCTACACAAGCACTATTTCCACACTGCTGGGTCCTCACACTCTCTGAGATGTCACCAAAGTGATTGGGTCACAATACAAGCAACCTTGATACACTGGATCAATAATTGTTGCAAGATTTTATATATGCTTAAGTGATCAGCTTTGCAGTCAACTCTGCAATATTTGAACAGCCTTCCTGACTGATCAAGAGTGTTGCTTGAGCATTTCTCTTTACCACAGTGGAGGCACACTGAGTATAATAGTGTGTGGTGTTCCTCCCCCAGTCTGCCTGGCTGGGGGAGATTTACTTCTTACTATGTAACCGACAAGGACACGTCCTTCAACTTTCCCAAAATGTTGACAAGTGAGGCGGCTAGGAACTGAATAGCTAATGCTTTACACCTCCGAGAATTATCTAATATTTCTTTGACACCTGCCTTCAACCTGCAGTGACCAATCCATCAGGCCTTCAAGTCCACATCTTGGAAGGTCATTAAGAAATGAAAGCAACTTTTTCTCACCTTTGCAATATAGTCCGCAAGAATATTTTCCCAGGAGATCGTCTCTCATTTTTTTCTAAAAGCCCAAAGCAAGTCTCTTCGCTCATGGATGCTTACTTAATAATATTTTCAAAGTCACCCATGTTTGTCCACTTCACCATAACATAAAGGGGAGAGTCTCATGTCAATTTTAAGATCAACCAATTTATTTGAGCATGAGCTCTGTGTTGACAAACTACTTCCTCAGAGTTTTCTTTTGAAAAATTACTTTAATTTTTTTAAAAAATTCTCAGACACCCCCCTCCTGGGTTAGCATAATCAGTAGAGAGGCTTTGGGGGAGGGCTCTGGAAGCTATAGTCCAAAAACATAATACAGCATTTTGCATAGAGAAGGGAACAAATCTTGGTTAGAAAATCACCTGAGCCTGACAGATAAGTAAACAACTGAATGTGACTGAGCAAGCCAGAAACAACACAAGGGCAAGTGAAGGAATCAGGAGTGACACTCCACTTTAGTTAGCGGGAAACTGATTTATCAAGTCTGATGTATGGAAAGCAAAAATAACATTCTAGCACCCAGACAACAGACCAGAGACCCTTGAGCATATTTTTCACCTGACAATTTAGCCATCTGAAACACCAAGGCACAATTTATTTTCAATACCTCACAAAATCCTGAGTGCATTACTACTAGGGGTTACAGGGGCATTACTTCAGAATAAAGAAAATATAGCCACAGTTTTTGCTATGGACAATAGCTAGCTAACTTTATCCAGCCAATGCCCAGCTGAAAAGGAAGTACACACCTCATATCGGCTCAGGTACTCAGGTAGTCGTGGTATTTCTGATTCTTCTAACTCTGCTTGCTTCGGCTTCTCTTCTGAATCCTTGGGGTCTTCTTGAGAAGCTTCTGTCACAGGGCTGGATTGTAAAATGGCTGCCAGCACATCCAACTTTGCAACAGAAATGAGAAAAAATTATAAGAAGCAAAACGCTAGCAACAAGCTTGCAAATAATTAGAACAGTCTCATCGCTGTTATGTTCCGTCAGATGACTTCAAACTAGAGATGGGCACTAACCATGAAAATGGCAGTTCGTCTTGGTTCGTGGTGTGTTGAAGTCCATGAACCACAAATTTCTAAACTTTTAAAATGGCTGCTGCCTCTCAAAACAATTTTTTAAAAAATATTTTTTTTTTGGAGAGGCAACCTGGCTTGCGGGAGCCGATTGGGTTGCTTCTCAAAATAACAGACAAAACACGAACAATATATACATATATTTAGAAGTAGCCTGGGAAGGTCTTGCAAGCTGGGCTGCCTCTGTGCATGTGTCTGCCTCTCAGCTGAGAAGTGAGTGCATGAACAGAGGCAGCCTGACTTGCAGGAGCCACTGAGCTACCTTCTCAAAGTGGTGGCAGCAGCAAAAGATACAGAGGTGACAGAGCAATGGGAAGGGTTAGAGGAACAATCCAGGAAGTTCAGGAAAAATCTAAAAAGTTCATAGTTCGGCTCAGTTTGGGTTCTCCGAATTGGAACCGATACAAACCAATGAACCAGCAGTTTTCCACGAATTTCCTGGTTTGTGCCGATCTCTACTTCTGACTCATGGTGACTCTGTGACTTAATGATCTCCAAAAGGTCCTATCATTAATAGCCCTGCTCGCAGTCTAAATGCTGTGGCCATCTTCACTGAGTCAATTCATTTCAAGTGGTGTCTTCATCTTTCCTACTACCATTCACTTATCTTAGCATTACTGTATTTTCCTGGGCAAAATGCATCATGGTTGTTAAGATTATATGGATCTACCTGGTGCACCTTTTCATTGTTTGTGGTTCTTTCAATACTGAGAATAAAACCAATATAGAAGATGAGGAAAAGATGGAGGAGGAGGAGCAGCAGCAGTCCATATATTGTTAAAATGCAAACACTACCTACTTTTCTTTTAAGTGGGACCTTTCTAAATTTTGAGAGTCATATTGATCACACAAAAGCAAATATACTAAAAGACCCCCACAAGCGGGACATTAGACAACCATGCCTTCCAGTTCATGGCCACCAACAGCCAGTATCCAGTGGTACTACGCAGCAGTTGGCAAGAGACACACAATTACAACCTGTGTAAGAAGCAGGATGATGAACCTGGACTGGGAAGGACAACTCCCCGTTATGTAACACACACATCCCAAGGTGAAGACAATGCACACTGAAAGCAAACACTTCATAGAATAAAAACTTGAAAATGTCACTTTGGGTGGAAGTTCCCAAAATGTCCTAGCCAAAGCACAACTCTCAGAATCTCCCTGCCAGTGGCCATGCTGGGCACAACATTGTGGGAGATGTAGTCCAGAAAACAAATTCTTCCAGAAGTGTGCCACTGGACTCTTTTTGAATATCTGTACTTCTGTTATTTACAATACATAAGTTTGCCAAATGATTTTCCACTTACAGCTTCCTTGCACAGCTTGACATCACTGGGAAGAAGCGCCACCGTCTCCATCACTTGCAAGGCTCTGTTCAGGTACCCGGGAGTCCACATGAGAGGCATCAAGGTGTACACAGCTTGCAGCCCCTTGTGCAACTCCACTTTTCCTGTTATGAGGCAACCACCACAATAGTTACTGCATCATCTGAAGCAAAGGTAGGCAACACACATACCTTGGTGGGACCAAATGCAGCCGTCCCTTGTGCCCTCTAGAAGTATGTAGGGCATTTCTGCAATGTTCTGAGGACTTTTTTTTTAAAAGAAAAACGTTTTTCCACTAAATAGTGGAAGGAAGTTCAATTGCCCCTACCCCCATGTTTGAAGAAAAACTTTGGGGGATCAGAGCATGCAGTCCCGTGACCTCAGAAGGCTGCTCACTTCTGATTTAATGCAAAAACACAGTAAAACCTTGAAGCAGCCTCCCCATCCTTGGGGTCAAAACTACACAACCATGTCACTGCCAATTGTGTCACTTAAAAAAAAAGATGGCCAAAACAGTTTGGGGGTGGGAGGGAGTAGGAGTGGGCACAGCATGTGGGAAGCCCTTTTCTACTGAAACAACAGTAGGCGGGGCGAAGTTTAACTCCTCTTCTGCTGAGGCCCCACTCAAACTCCCTCTCACATCTGCCATTAGCTCCAGAAGGCAAGGTGCCACTGGAAAAGAAGTAGGGTGGGTTTTTATTGGGTCCATAGCAGGGAAGGAAAGGGTTACCTTTCCCCACAAGATTTCCAGTAACACATCTGTCACTACTTAAGCTGGGGCTTTTCTGCCTTTTGTCCTTTTGTTAATAGCGATGGCCTCCCCTACCTCAGACAAAAACCACACTTTAGGAGGAGGGGCTCCTCAAGGTCAGCTAAAGTGAGGCCTACAACTAAAGGAAAGGGACATATTTATCTATTTTTTTTTTCACAGACTGTTTCCTGCTGTGACATAGGCATGGATTCTCCTAATTCTGGAACTGCTAGAGACACTCAATTATGATGGATTAAACATTGCAGATTGGCCTTCTTTTTCTACAGAAACAATTTGTTTGAATATTAGATGTACTTGTGACTAAGGGCTACACCACGTGTTACTGCTTTTATACAAGTAGAAAATTACACACAGTTATTTTCAGATAGGTGCCATCCATCTTCCTACACAGAAAATGTTTTCTGTATTCTGAAATCCTGGTCTGTGAAGTTACAGACCTGAACACTGAGCAATATTCCTCCAGATATCCGCTAAGCCCTTTGCTGGCAATTTTTAAGAACCTGGTGAAACTATTAGCCAGTAAGATCATAATACTGCTATTTTAAATGCTTCAATATTCAAATGTTGTTGTATTTGTTTTTATGTTAGTATTGATGTTTTGATCAATGGGTACGATTAGATGTTTTGCCTTTTGTTCTGTTTTATGTTGTAAAGCAGCCAGAGTGGCCTTTGGTTAGATGGGCGATATATAAATCAAATAAACAAAACACACACTTGCTGTTTTAAAATTCTTATGAAGAGGACCCAGCTCTTCCTGTGATCAGGGTAGTAAAACCCAGCCTATGAATTCAGAACTTTTCAGAAGTGGACATGTTTCTCTTACTGTATTTTTCATCACCTTTAACTGTCCACATTAATCACAGAAGTACATCTCACAATGCAAACTACTGCAACACACCTTCATTTCTCCTCCTGAAGCAGGGACTTATCAGAGAACCAGAGGAATGTGTGCACAAATAAAAGCTCATTGGACTATACCTAAATATAAACTGCTAAGATGCTCCAGGCCAGGCAATGCCCACAGACATCTTTCACTCTTTGCAGAGACCTACTCCATTAAAGTTGGCAAGACTTCAGAATGTGTGACATTGCAGAAAATAGCTTTTGATCTTCTGAAAATAGCTTTCAATGTTAGCAACAGAGGTGAGAGTTACTTGCACACAGCAGTAAAATGGTTTGTTAAGTACAATGCTTTCTCAAATGATTCTGGCTACATTTCCCACCAGAAATAAATAACTGGAGACCAAAGAGGAGTGGAAGTATGGGAATCAGGCATATACTGACAACTCAAGTGAATAAATAAAGCAACTGTTCTAGGGAAAATGCAAATCTGTCAATTTGTTTTGTAGCTTTGTTCTTTATTCCAAGAGAATCTGGAGGTTGCTTTTTTGGTCTTAGAGTCAGGTAGAATCAGAATCAGCATCCTTAACACTGTCAAATCATGGGCAACCTTATCACCATTAACAAACCATGATGTATAAGGAGAGGAGGAAATGTATGACATTGGAGGTGGGGCAAAACTGTTTTGCAGCTAAAGACAATATGTTATTGAACACCCAATCAGGGAAGGAGAAAAGTACCAAGAGTTGTTTGGAGTTTTTTAAAAATACATGAATTAGAATTAAAAGGATACTGTGGGTACAATCCACAGTGGAGGTGTTCTGCTGCCAGAACTGCTTCTGACAGTGGAAACAGGTAGAGGGGAATTCTCTCCCTCCTTTACAATCCCCTGTACATCCAAGAAACCTCCTCTGGAGTACCTGGGAACCCACTGGGTGCAGGTTTTTGGATGGCACAGAGGGCTGGCAGGTGGGAAAGGAGACAAAAAACAAAACCAAAACCCACTGCACCCAGTCTACCAACTTGATGTTGAATTTAGGCCCCAAACAGAGCCCTGCACAATGGGGCAGAGATGGAATGAATTATTTTCTTAGAATATAGCTTCTAGAATACATCAGCATCCTATCACTTATAGTTCAAAAAGTACCTTTTCTCATCTCTACAATGACACTGACCCAGATTCTGAAAACCTAGAGTGCACTGAAGGAATCCTGAGAGTCATGAAGACTAAGAATTGCCCAGGGCCCACAAGTGTAGCTCCTAAAGCAAGAATGGGGGACACACTGTCTTCAAGATGTTGTCGGACTGCAATTCTCATCACCCTTTGCCATTTGCTAGGCTAACTAGGAAAGATGGCAGCTGCAGTTCAACAAAACTGGAAGAGCTGCAATTTCAGGAGTCATACATCTGTTCTAACATCCGCTGACTGATATTTTGGGGAACAGGGCATGCTGTAAATATTTATTTCAAGAACAGAGCCAAGACTGCAAAGTTGAGAGTTAAAATGTGTTCTCTGCTTGAGAAATCTAGTTTCATGTTGTCATACTGTCCCACAGTTTCCCTTTCTCCCCTGCTGGTTGTGAGCTGGTTGCTTATTATACTGACCTTGGAAGGCTGAGTTATCCTCGAGCCAGTTACCTGAACCCATCAGGATTGAACTCAGGTTGTGAGCAGAGGTTTGACTATATTACTGAAGTTTAACCACTGCACCACAGTGCTGGATGTGAAGCTGGTCCTTTCAAGATCAGCCCTCCAAAGTCAGGGTTCACACTACAACCCTGCCAGTTCTCTGCACCCACTGCCAAGTCACCACCACCAAGGATAAGGACCTTGGCACTCCAGATGTTTTGGACTACATCTTTCATAATTCTTGACAGACAGCCTTGCTCTCTAGGGATAACAGGAAACAAGGTTAAACATATCTGACCCTTCCCTAGTTGGCAGAATGGGCTCCCTTATGTACTGGATAAGCCCTAAAAGGCCCTTCCTTAGCTACAAATGATCCCTGGTGTATGGCTTACTATGGAGCACCACAAGACCTGTAGCATGGAAATTACTATATTTTTTTCTGTGTATAAAACAACACTTTTTCTTAAAATAATTAAAGGAATTATTAATTAATTTAGGGTCATTTTATACATGGAAGAAAGGAGAGGGGGAGGGATCAAAGCGCTTTGATGCCTGCTTTCCCCGTCCACGTTTTGCAAAGAAAAAGGAGGGGAAAAGCTGCTTTTTGCAACGAAAATGTAAGGGAAAGGAGGAATCGCTTTCCCCTCCATTTTCTTTGCAAAATGTGGAGGGGGAAAGCACCTTTTTACAAAGAATGTGGAGGGTGAAAGCAGGAATCGCTTTCCCCCTCCACTTTCTTGCAAAGAAAAAAATATTGGGTTAGAAAAGTGGGGGGTCTTATACATGGGGCATCTTATACACAAAAAATATGGTATAAGTCCCATGTTTTCCATTTAACACCTGCATCCTAGAATGGGCTTTGAAGAGCTTCTTGAATGTCAAAAGGAGCCTTCCTCCACTAGTTACACTTTTCCCATTGATTTGGAAGTAGGACAGAGGTTGGCAGCGAGGCAGTTTCAAGATCAGCTTTGCAAACATTTAACAGGAACATGGAGAAACCCTGATTGGTTTTTGAGAGACTGCTTCCATTATTGGCTTGTCTTTTGTAATATTTCAGTGATAGTATTAAAATTTAATTGAAAAATCTGAATAGTTCATTATACTGTGAGCTGAGAAGTAGTAGTAAGAAAATGCTTTAACTGAAACTTTAGAAACTTACCAAGAAGTGAATGGGCATACAGTTGAGAACTGAATCCCACTGTGTTGTTCTGTTTCAAGCCTGCTAACAAGAGGGATGCCCCAAGATTCTTTTCTTCCACCCACTGAAAATACAAAAACATTGCTCAGAACCAATGTTAAAACGACAATGGCTACATCTGGCAGTAATTATGCTAGCATGCATTGTGACATTCTGTGTCATAAGCATTCTCCCAGATCCCAGAAAAGTTACTTTTTAAAACTTGAATTTTTAAGATTCTGGAAGTTGTGATCCAAAAAAGTAACTTCTTCGTGTTCTGCATTCTTCCATATGTTACAACAGAATCTGCTAAGCAAACAAACTGATTATAATCCTATAGCAGCTGCATGGTATTGTACCCTTACTTGTTAATTATTTTTGCTTGTTAAACAGTATATACCTTTTTTTTAAAAATCAACAAAGTTTGCAAGTGTTGAGGACTTACATATTTTTACTTTGACTTCTTTCTACCAAGATAATGAAAACTGTTCACAACAATAATGGTAAAAAGCAATTAAAAAAAAACATTAAAAGGCAGAAATAGGTGGTTTTGAAACTAGGAAAAAAACATCTGACATCCATATCAGTTCACTAACTTCATCAGGTGAACAAAAATATTTTAAACATATGCATACTTTAAGATCTCTAGATCTCTTTATCAGACGTGATGCTATAAATAGCAAGGGCCAGGGCAGATGATCTAATACTGAAATCATGGGTCTAAATCCAACTGCTCATCTCAGTTAGAGAGGACTCACTGAACCAATGTCCAGAATCCTGGCCAGCATAGGCATTTGCTGATGCATACTGGTCACATGACATGCCACAGCAAATAAATCTGTTGCCATCATTTCAAAGCTAAAATTCATGCTGATGGGGTTTTGCTGATGTAATTTTTCAATGAGATTCTGGCCAATGAGATTTACACAAGTCTTGAAAAGCCATTTATTCAATGGATCCCTTCTCATTGGGATCAGATCTTCATTAAGGTTATGATGTCTACAAGATTACTATTCGTAACATATGCATATTTTGACTTATTAGATTGTTTCTAATTGACACCTTCATGGCTAAGTGGTAGTTTACCCTTTGTTGTTCATCAAGACTCTGATGGAAAATGACGAAGAGAAGGCAAGAGAGTGGCTAATGGCTCAGCTGTTTTGCAATTAATAATTAACAAAATCCTGAAGAGTAAAGTCTCAATTAGCCACTGCCTGGAAGGAAGTTACCTAAAATGTCTGCATAGTCAGATATCTGATTTAAGAGACAGAGGGAGGGGGAGAGAAAGTTGAGGAGAAGGAGAGTAAAGTTTGCATAAGATATTCTGGTATAGGAATGGCCACTTGAATGGTGTGTGTGTGTGTGTGTGTGTGTGTGTGTGTGTGTGTGTGTGTGTGTGTGTGTGTGTGTGTGTGTGTACGTACGTACACATGTATATATGGAAGCATATACATATATATTTGTATGAACTTTAATGTATGCTCTGCCATCACCAAGGTAGTTTATCAACTCTTATTAGCAATGGCTGGGGCTGAATGAAGACATGGGAATATTCAATGGTAAAGGAATTTGTGTACAAGATTGTGAAGAAATGTAATGTGCAAAATTCAGCCTAAATTTTAAAAAGGCAGTAAAACTATAGACAATATTAAGTTAGATATGAAAAAGAAATAAAGGGAGAAGAATAAAAACATGTATTTGGTTAATTAAAAACATTGGGAGTTAAGCATATAAAACATCACAAACATCACAAACATCACAAACATCACAAACATACATACATACATACATACATACATACATACATACATACATACATACATACATAACAGACAGACAGACAGACAGACAGACAGACAGACTGTACATACAGACACACACAAAGACACACACACACAATATATAAACAGCTTACCGTAAGTTCTGGTTTAATTTCCAAATATTTATACATGACATAGAGAGAGAGAAGTTGTGTAGACTCTTCATCAAAACCTTCTTGTATCATTATCTCGGAGACTACAGACATAGCATCTAATGATGGAGGGGAAAACACAATAACAGGAAATTTTAAAAGGGGTCGTTTGCCAAGACACTCATCCTAGACAGTTTGTAAGAGAGAAGATGATTCCAAGATGAGCCGCCACAAACAAAGCTCTTCAAAGTGTCTTAGCTGAACGAGAGCTCAGTGTTTATGCAAGCACAAAACCCATTTGTGTGAGTACATGGCGATCATGACTAAGAAGGTTATTTCACTGGACTAGAACAACAGCTCCCAACACTGGCCTGGGTGTTTGTGTGGCTAGGAGTTGTACAAAAAGGTAACTTCTCCAAGCACTTGTGTTCAATATTTTCATCTGCATGATGTATTGGCTGGATTTAGTTCTTCAGTGTCTTGAGTGAAAGCAAGAAGGTGATGTCAACTAATCCTTTGGAAATACCTCTTTGATACAGAAGATCTTAATACAATGTCACTTTTTGAAACATACTGGGCAATTTAGTTGTGTTAATAACTTCTACTTAGACTTCACTCCTCTTTCCTTTCTTGGCTATCACTGAAATCATACCAAACTAGATAATAGGAAGCGGTCAAAAGGAAGCCATGTTATCCAAGAACTATGGAAGCATTTAACATACAACCAAGCAGTAGATATTTGATTTCTTACCTTCATACTTCTCATCTTTTATAAACGTATTCAATAAAAGATTGAATGTAAAATTATCTGGGAATATTCCATATTGTACCTGGAAAAAATGAGAAGAAAACACAAAAATGGGCAATCTTCATAATCCTCATATCCCCCACACTAAATTTATCCAGCACTCCATATTTTTATCCTAAGCAGGAATTGAAGCATGTAAAAAGTGCACTAATTTGTCTTACAATTTCAAAGATATCCAATTACCGTATTTTTCGCTCCATAAGACGCACCTTTCCATAAGACGCACCAATTTTTTAGGAGAAGAAAACAGGAAACTATAATCTGTTTTCTTCGCTCCATAAGACGCACAGACTTTCTACCCCCCCTGTTTTGTGGGGGGAAAGTGCGTCTTATGGTGCGAAAAATACGGTATATCCCTGATGAAAAGCAGCTTTGATAAGCAGTGCTTTTCCAAAACATTACCTTATTTTTTATAGTGTATAGAGCCTTATCCTGTGCACCAAACTTAAGGCACTGCCTAATCCAGCTGTGAATGGTCCAGTCTCTTAAGTACAAGCAATTACTGCTGTGACGAAACCTAAGTGATGAGACAAACACAGAGCATTAAAGAGGCTGAAACACATGCTGACCTTCCAAGATATGTATATTAATTAAACATGAGCAGTACAAAAAGGTCAAATGCGGAATTTATTTGTAGTTTCATCAGGATAGTTTTAAACAGGGAAAGGTTTTTTCTTGTTTCAAGGATATAGAAAAAGAGAATAAGAAACCCTTGTAAAGTGCGTAAATTCTAGGTGCAAACCAAAGAAAGATAAAATCTCTCTAAGTCCTATTTTTCAATGAGAAATTTAAGTGGGTGTCTCTTTCGAAAGGGAAACCAACTGCATTTAATTGTTTCAGCCTAACTGTTACCTAGATTAGAGCTGTTTCACAAATGACAATACAGCATCCTGAATTTGCCACCTAGTCAAAAATGAACTGGAACCCTTTTTCAAACTGAGGTCTATATTAAATCATGTGTACAATATATGCAGTTTGAAACACCTGCTTACTACATTCACAAATTTTAGAAATCTATGGTGTGTGCCGCAAGAACCATGAGGCATGAAGGTGCCCTCAGAAGCAAGAACAAGACTTCATCTTTTAAAATGATCCAGCAAAATGGTAGACAAACAAACCTCCAGGCAGCAGGGATGTGTCCAAAGATCCAAACCATTTGATCAAACCCATTATTCAGCTTTTGCAGACAATTTTTGTTATCTCCCATTGTCAGGAGCCCATTCTCGAAATCACAATTTCTTCAGAACAGTATTGCACTAACAAGCATGGACAGGCGTCAACATAAAAGCTGTATTTTCTGAATCTGACCAAACTATGATAAAGGCAAGACGATCAGCCCAACTATGTATGTTCTAATAAATAGGAATGTTGATTATAAAGGAACATATGGGACATGCAACAGAATGTTGCAATGGGAAATGGTCCTCCTCTGACATGGACATCCTGTCCATGCAGAAAGCTGTGTGAAACTTGCACATATATAGCCACAATGTTTGGATATTTAAAATGCATACCAAAAAAAATTATGTATGGAATTGCCTGGTATTTCTTTTGCAGCAACATGTACAGTATAGACATTTCTTAAAAAGATATTCTCTGATGGATGTCACCGAAATAGGCATAGATATTCAGAACATGAGGCGTTTCAGAATGTTTGAGTGTTTTTTCTCTGATCAAACGTTCCTTCCTTATTAGTTCTTGGCACTAGCACAGCTTAGAATTGCTCAGCCTTTCTCCTTGCGATTTACCTGTCACTATTGTGGTTAGTGGTAGTGGCCTGCAAAGTTGCCCACTTGTAGTGCAGAAGGATGGCATCTAGCCAACGACTCCTAGCTTTGGTGCTCATCTTGCCTGCTGCCGCCTGCTCTGAGCACGCCAGTAGTGAGAACTGGAAGCAGAAGTAGTGATAGCTCGGTGGCTTAGGTCTTTGGCTGCAGAGTCAGAGGTTGGGAGTTCTACTGCCCACTGGGCCTCCTTGATTGGAGCTAGACTAGATGATCCACTGGGTCCCTTTCAGCTCTGCAATTCTCAAATGATGACAATGATGGTTGCTGTTGTTTTTGTCGTTAACCTTCACATCCATTATCCTGTCTCCCTCTAAAAGCTTATCTGGATTGAGGCCAGATGGAGAGGCAAATAAATATGCATTGGCAACAATGGTAAGAAGATGAACTGAACAGAGTGTGACAGACAGGCCTGCTAATTAGCATCTTGCCCACAGTCCCAGCTGGCTATGGGCTAAATCCAACATTCATCCCAAATAGACCCAATGGGGGGAAAAAGGATACTCACATGTTAATGAATGTTCAACTGATTTCAATGGGTCTACTCTAGTTGAGAGTAATGGTGAATTTAGCCCTATATTTCAGAAGAGAAAAGGAAGTTCTTTTTAGGTAGGAACTGGAGTAGATCAGAGATGGGAAGTCCATGCTCTCCAGATGTTGTTGGACAGTAACTATTCTAAGAGAAAATGGCTTTTCTCAATGGTAAGGCTTGCATATTTTACTGCTATAATGAAGGTCTCCACTAGCTGAGAGAAATCTTTGGCCAGCAACATTCAAAACACATATCATGCTTCAGAACACAGAAATAGGTTCTTCAATGAAAGACGAACAACAAATTGTCAAAGGATAAAAACTGTCGGAACATCTCTCCTACAAAGTAGCAACCCATTCCACCTGCTCTTCACTTCTCAGCCCAGGATGTTAAAAAGAGTAAAACCAAAGGAGGCGAAAAGAGTGAACATAAGAAATCATGCATTTTCAGCTCTGGCTCCACACCTCTGGGATAACTGTCCAGCAGCAGTTCACCAGGTGCCTTTCCTCACAATCTTTAAGAAGTTAGCAAAAACACAACTATTCAAGCCTGCCTTTTATTAGTTATCATACTTGTGATGCCCATATCATTTACATTTATTTATTTATCTAAGGATAGGTTAGCTAGTCAGTGGTTTTATTGATTGATAGATTGTTGAGTTTGTATTTGCATGTTGTTTTGTATTTTTCTTTGCATTTTTTTTGTAAACTGCCCAAAAAGTGGGTTGCGCTATGGAGTAGTATATAAGCTGGAATGAAGGAAGAATAAACAAACAAATAAATACATTATATCTGGGATAAACTCTGGTAAACCAACCTTATAGCCCAAGAGGGCCATCAGAGGATAACAAAAGAAGTCCAAAAGAAAAACACCAAGAAAGGAAGTGCTGAAACACCACAAGATTTTGTGGATAGGCAAGTTCTTTATAGTGAATACCAGTGGTTTTAGGGTTTGGGAAAGGAAATGTTGGTTTAGGTTGTAGAAATATATAATTATCTTAAGTTCCTCAATTCTTTCTCAAACTCTTAGGACCTTAAAATATTCCTAAACGACACTAGTTTACAACCATTTCTGGGACTAAAATATGTCTGTGTGTATCTGAATTCTGATCTGTTTCACTTCTATCCATGTCAGAAGCATCTCAACATTTTGTGGGGGAGCGGGAAACACAAAAAAAGATGACATCCTATTTACCAGTTTTGGGGTTGCAGGAAAGGAAATAGCTTGATCTTGGCCTTGGTTAATATTGTACTAAATCCTTAAGCATCAGCTTGAACTTCCTATGACACATGCAACTTTTCCATAAATAAGCATTACACTTAAACCAGAGCTTTGAAAAAAAATTGCTCTGGATTACAATTTCCAGAATTTTCCACTACCCTTAGCCCTGCTGGCTCAGGGATTCTGGGATTTGTTGTCCAAAAAGTAATTTTTAAAGCTCTAATCTAACCCACAGAGAAGTGTAGCTTATATCCCCTGTCTGTAGAATATCAGGAAAGCATATACCATTAATGCAAGGATATGCTGGCAGCCTGGGGCCAAACTGCAGCACCATTTACTGGCAGGATTGGTTCTTCCATCTGAATGAGCATCTTTTCCAGAACATTTATCACACTATTATAGCCACCAACCCTTTTCACTTCCCTCTAGTGAATTTCTTGGAATAGTCCCTTATGGTTACAGGCTATCCAAATTACTAAGGGGAGGAGAGAGACTGTTTCAGTCCATGGTGTCTATAGATATTCAGTGCCGAAGTGCTTGGAAATGAAAACACAGCTGAAGGAAGTGTATCTATACTGTGTATTAAGCGATACTCTGGCTCCTTTTCCTGCTATTAAATTAATCTTACAGTAAAATAAAAAGGCACACATTCAATATCAAGCTATGCATGACCATCTGGTAGTCTAATTGCTTTGCACACCCCTTGCCTGAACTCTGGTATTAACAACAGAAAGATCCTGTATTTGCTTTGATTAAGGGCCCGCCTCAAAAATACTTGCAGGAAGCATCAATTATACGCAATTGGATTGAATCATATTGTGATGAGTCTATTATCTAATTGGTACTGACTGGCTCACCAGCCATACAGAAGGTCAGAGAGCAAGTTCTGCATCTTATCTCAGAGCAGGAAGCATCTTTATACAGGGCACTGACTAACTCTTAAGTCTCCAGTGCCATTACAGAGTGGCATGAGTACACATGAGACACCAAGTGGTCTGAACTACAGATTATTTATGGGGTGCACCTCTACACTTTCTGCTACAGTGGTGCCTCAACTTACGCTCTTATTCCATTCCAGAAGATGGTTCTAACTCGAAATGGTCATAAGTCAAAGCACCATTTCCCATAAGAACTCATTGAAATGTAATTACAGTGGTGCCCCTCTTGACGATGATAATGTGTTCCAGCAAAATCACTGTTCAGCGAAATCGTCATCAAGCGAACAGAAAAATCCTCATTGGAATGCATTGAAAACCGGTCAATGCGTTCCAATGGGGAAATACCTCATTGTCCAGCGAAGATTGCCCATAAAGAACAGCCGATCAGCTGCTAAAAATCGCTGTAATGCGAAGCTTCCGTCTGGAAAGCAGCCATTTTGAGAAGGGAGGGAAGCCATTTTGCCGGGCGAAGCCATTTTGCAGAACTGGAAAGCAGCCATTGTGAGGAGGGAAGCCATTTTGCAGAGCCGGAAAAAACAGGCTCCTAATCAACATAAAGCGGATTTCCCCCATTGGAACCATTGTTTTGCGATCGCAATAGGGATCACAAAAATGTCATCGTCAAGCCTTTTCGACATCATGCGGGGTAAGCGTCTAGTGGGGCACCACTGTAATCCGTTCCGGCCGGGGGGAAAAATCACCAACCCCCCCACAAAAACCACTGCAAGACCCATCAGAAATGTGTTTAATCCGTTTCGGCTGAAGGAAAAAAAAAACCCCAAAAAGCAAAGAAACCCTGCAAGACCCATTGGAAATGCAAATAAAGGAAACCAAAAATCAAACAAACCCTGCAAGACCCATCGGGAACATGAACCCCCACCCAAAAAACCCCAAAGACTGCAAGACCCATCACAGCACAGAAACATAACCCCCCGGCCCAAAACCATGCTGCAAAACCCACCCAGAACAGGCAGTTTTTAAAAAAGCAGAAAGCAGCACCTTACCAGGCAGTCCAAAGCCTCCTCCGAATGCACACACTCTA